CACTGGTTATTTCTTTTTGTTGTCTGTTTGCTGCTACAAGACATTGAGTTTCAGAGGACAGCTCACCAGCTGCACATTTTGTGATCTGTGCAGGAACTAATGAACTCTGCCTTTTTATTTCTTTGCAAACAGGAAAAACCACTAAATTGTTGCAGTCTTGCTTATACTGCCCATCAGCAAAACCAACTTTTGTGGTTTGGCAAAATCAAAATGCACCTGTTACAGTGCATGACACAAGGTCACAGAGTCAATTTAGTTAACTGGATCATGTGATCCTGGAGTCTTAGGCATACAACCATCTTACCACAATGACAAGACAGTGAGAATCAGCACAGCGAAAATAAGGCATGTATCTTCTTCTCCAATATTAACAAGTGCTCAGAGTACAGAAAACTGAATACATTTCACATTGTAGTTGTTGCGAGGAGATACATAAATTTTAATAGGGTCCTGTTCTTGAGTTACTCTATTGCTCTGTTCAATTAAATGTTATTTAATGATTCACCACTTACAATGATATTATATATCATTCATATTCCACTGACTTCAGCGAAGCTCCTGATTTTTACAGAAAAGATAACTAGTTCTAAGGAAAAATATTAATTTTCTGTGTAAGGCCCAAGTTATCAGCAAGTTAAAAGTAGCAACTAAATATAGCAACAACTGTATTATTTTTGCAATTCACGCATGGGGAGATTCAGGTTGTCACATCACAATTGTTTACACCATTGATATTGGTTTAACTGCTAAGCACCCTAGGAATGAGTATTATTTCATGTAGTGCCTGTATGTCAATCAAAACTGTAGCAACCTGTCTATTGCACTTTCTTGGGGCATTTAATTTTCAACTGTATCCATCGTAAATTACTGTTACAGAACAAAAGATAAAGATTCTGGGTCATCAAATTAGGTGGTATAGGTGAATTGCTGAAATACTCGTGTTTGATCATGTATTGTAGCAGATTATTCCAATACTCACTCACCTTCATTGTTCATCCTTAACTACACACCTTAACTCTACTCATTCTCAGTGTAAGAAATGAGTAAAACTGATGACTCCTTGTCTCAGGCACTGACTCTTTACCCAGAACACTTATTTCCAAAGATCGTTCTCAGGCTTTTGCATCTCCTTGTATCTGGCAGTTTAAGCAATGATTTCACTCTGCAGCTGGGACCACATGCACGAGGTCAGTCTCCACAACTCAGCTTTCAGCTGCTACCTGTTACACCAGAGTAACCTGATCAGCTGTTTTGGCTATCAGAGATATTTGGCGTCATCATCAAATTTTCCTTCAGACAAAAATAAACCATTCATCCCAGAAGTGTGGTTAACCACTTGGGTCAAAAAATTATAATAAGCTGTAGATACTCCTATTTCCATGCTATCTAATGCTAACAATACATCACTTAGTTTTCTCATTGAATAAAAGCCACTTCTTTCAATAGTTTGTTTTTTTGTTTTTTTGTTTTTATTTTTTACAAACTCAGTGCCTCGCATGAGCACTGCCAACAGTCTGCCTGCTTTCAATTGACATGAAACTGTTAATACAATGAGTAGATTTCCAGTTTGTAGGTACATTGTGATAATATTTACTTACCTTTGTATAGGAAATTTAAATAAAATTGCATGCATCATCACCCGTGAGACACTGGGAACCGTGCAGACACGTGCACTAATCCAGACCAGGTGCTTTGCCCTCCTGCATGAACTGTACACTATTCTCCTATGCACAGCCGTGGCCTTTTATGAGGAACTGGGGAGCACAGGCAAGGAGGCAGCAAAGTCTGCACCCTCTTGCAAGGAAGAAATAGTTTCTGTGTTACACAGTACTGAAAGATATTCCCCAGATTGCTGAGGAATCTAAATGCAGAAAGCCTGACAAAAATTACTGTAACTGAGAACCTAAGGCATTGAGAGATTAAAATACCTTGCCCAAAGCCTTTCTGGAAGATCACATCAGAGATGGAAATTGAATCTAGCTCTCATAAGGCTTTTTTTTTTTTTTTTCTTTCTTTGAGGCACTAGGAAGGGTAAAGCATTTTCTTATCACCAGAAATTTCATAAAGCTTGGCCATGCTGATCATTATACTTAAATCCACATTTTTAAGGACACAGTGTCCCTTAAGCACATATTTGTCTTTCACTTAGTTCAAGAGAAGCTGCACGTGCATATGTCAGAACCATACATGAATTGTCATTTACAACATTTTAAAACAGATATGCCATGTTAATATGCCTGTATTTATCTCTGCTCTCCATACAAAGAAACAGACACTGCAAATCAAAGCCAGCAATGATATTAAAGTATTAGGTATTCAGTGTTAGGGAATGCACAATATTGAGTATTGTATGGAACATAAACCTAACAATATCCAAAAGGGGAAGGGGGTGTGAGAACATGACAGCAGTTAACACAACAGTGAGTGCGGAAGATAAACTGAATGCGTAACTCTTGTTCAATAAAGTCCTGCACATGAGAGCTAAGGATCTGGTAGAAAGAAGATTTCAACATGTAATGGAAAAGCAATGTACAAAGCCTCTTAAGGTACCAAGCTCTGGAACTGGCTGTCACAGGACCTTGTGGGGGAAGACAGTATCAACTGTTTCACAAAAGGATACACATATTCATGGACAACAGATCCCCAATAGGACAATAAAAGGACTGGGTAGGTATATACGCCTCAATGATTCTTGAGAGTCTAGCAAGAAAAAATTACTACACTCATCTACTTTCCTTGGCAAATGTACACCAAGCTAGATGTACAGTTAGTGCACATTTCATCTGTCCCCTGGGGCACCTCTATAGACAGATGTTCCTACCTACATGAGATTTTAGCTTTACCTACTGTGGAAGGAGTTCAACCTCCCCTGGGAATCCAAGCTTACATGGTTTTCAAGCAAAATTTCTGGAAGATGACTATGGAAATGGAATTCCTAAGGCAACTGAGCCCACAAATGCAATGAAAACATTAGAAAGAGTGTTCCCTGGATCACGTATGAACAAGGCTAAGCTCTGCAGCATCTATACACTGTTATTTTTCCTAAACGGAAAACACTCTTCCCACTAATTACAATTTTTTTTGACAGTACCAAAGTAAACTCCTGGGAGAGGCTTTGCATGAGTGGCCCTAATTTGATGAGTATACTGTCACCCGATCTCTCTATATATGGGGTGAGGATTTGTACTTCGCTATGTGTGCAGTAATGATTCCATATGTGCTTACACTTTCTAAGTAATTCTTCAAAAAGACTGGAGGAGGGTTTAAGAAGCAAAAGCATTTCACTTTTGCATATGATTCTGAAACTTGCTTTTTTGTAGCCCACAGAAAACCTCCTCAAGCCTCACTTTAGACTGCTGTCATAATATTTTCAGGCTCACGACACAAGATTTCATTAATTTCTATATCATCAAAATCTGTTCCAATATTAAATAAGACAATCAGAAAGCTACTCATATGAGAAGACTACTCCGAGCCAAAACTTCAGGGGTTGGCTTTATTTCAAGCCTTAAAGAGATGCCTTAAAAAAAAAAAAAAAAAAAGAAGAAACTAAAATGCTCAAAATAAAGTTAAAATAATTCAGCTTTGCCTCCTGAGTAACACTCTCCTGTCTCCTATGGAAAGGCTTGCTCTAAGAATTCTATACATATTCCTTATCCTGTTTCTTTTATGTATATGTCTGTCCTTCAATTCATATGCCTCAAGACTGCTGCTTACAATTTAAGCAGTAAAACTGGTATATTTATGCAAGGCCTTTAAAGTAACCATTTCCCAGTTGTGCTTGTCCACCAAGTCTGTGAAAGCACTTGCATCAATTCCACTGGTACTTTTAAAGTATCATATAAAGTGAAGTGAAACACTAAACCCTTCTGGAAATCATAGAATAGTTCTCTAGAGAGAACTCTTCTCTAGAGAAAAGACCATTCCCTAGGTATGCCACACAAGTCCAAAAGCAGTAGGAAAAAATCCCTCAACTTGCTGGCTATCCTCTTGCTAATTGCACCCTGCGATGCAATTAATACTCATCACCATATTGGCTTCGTGACAACTTAAACTCAACTTGTCAACAAAATCCCCATATCACCACTTACAATCACTGGGCTATCATATTTTTAAAATCTAAACAAAATAAGTAAAACTAAACATAGAGAAAGGACACAATAAAAGTAATCTTTTTATGACTTTGATATAAATTTGCAAGCTTATTTTTATAGTTTTTTCAGTCATATTTAATGGTTTATGCAAGTGGTTTTTACACAAAGGATGTAGTAACTCTGCTAAGGACAAACCTCAGCTTCCTCGAGGAAATTACCTATGCTCTCTGCAGATCATGAGCTGAGAGGTGAAGCGGTAACCTGTTAAACCTATCATTCCATCAGGCTATGAATACATTACAGGGCAGCAACTGAGTCAGAAGAACATCATATTTTCCCTTCCAAAATGATAAGAAGCAATTATTCTTTAGCTGCTTTAGCTTTTTCCTAATCTGAAGTTAACATATTTCACAGAATCACAGACATTTGTCCCTTTTCTTAAAAGTATTCCTCTGACTTGTCTGTTAAAAGCTAATGAAATGATTCTTATTAAACCCAGTTACGTTTAACACTGTAATCAACACCAAATTCTGAAAAATACTATAATTCGAATTTTACATTTACTTTCCTTTACATGAAGATAGGCATTAACTCTTTCCTACAATCTCATATGAAATATTATTTCTGAAATGTCATGATACGTCCATACAATCTTTACTTTAAGTTTCATTAAACACCAATAAAATACCAAAACATCATTATGTATTTTTTTAAGCCCCCTAGCAGCGGACAAGAGAAAAATTAAATTTTCATATCATTTCAAAGGTAGTCTGTAAATATAATAGGAACCCAATCCAAAAGCCACTGATGGAGGTCATGGGAGTCTTTCCATCAACTTCCATGTGCTTAGGAATAAGGCACCAAAATAAATATTAGTAAGTGAAAGGAAGAGAAATGAAAACTTACCCATGAATTCAATTCCTAAATGGTCTGCTATACCCAAGAAAGCATGTAAAAGAAAAAAGAAAAAAAGAGACAGAAGTGTTAGAAATAGACTAAAATGTAAATATCAACTTTATCATCACTGGTAGCATTCGATATTTATATGGCAGAGGTGCAGAACATAATGTGGGGTCAGGGTCCCGCTCTGTGGGTACTGGTCAAAAAGAAAAGCAGAATCCTGCCATTCAAGGGACAATTCAAAAATGGGAATTTAGGGAACTGAGCTGTCACAGAAGGGAACTGTATTTGGGGAAGGACACAAACATCTTTACTCATATTTATATTCAACTGAAGTGCCTCAAGCCAGATACCTACAAGAGCTTCATTTTCTCGTCATCCTGAAACTCCTCCCTCAATATGTTAACTACTATCATTAGTTAGAAAAGGTTATTGCTTTCATTTTCTCTGACAGAGATCAAAACCTAACGGTTCTGCATGGATGAATGGAAGGCTTTTACTGAGTTTTGTAGCTCTTACTACAGCACAGTGGCCACACTTTCACCCAACATGACTGCATAACAGCTATCTGTCATGTAACAGAAAATCTGACTTCAGGAAGTAGTAGCCATGTTCCCTACTCAGCCATCTGACCGGTATGATTTCAATGATTTCAAGACATTTAGAACTGAAACAAAAATTTAAACATTTAGTATATTGACTAAATTTACACGGAGTTCAAAACATTTCAGGATCCTTTTTTTCACATGACAAAGCAGGATATGATATGAAATGTCTCTAACAGACAGATGTTTTAGTGCAAAGTAGATTTAAATTTATATGAAACACTTACAAATTTTTAAGTCGATAGGAAGTATGTTTAAGTTGATATATGATTAAAAAATAACAAACTCTCCATCCCGCAGGGACAGAGCAACAGTAAAAATGTTAACTGACTTTTCAGAACTGAGCATGTAAGGAGTAGTAGCTTCAAGTCCAAACTGAAACTGTGGAAGGTCAGACATTCAGAAAAGCTGCAAAATTAAATTCTCTTCTTTGCTTCAAATACTTTTCTTTTCCATGGGAGGTAATAATTTGCATCATAAAGAACAAAAGAGGATTTTTTTTTTTCTGAGGAAAATGCAATATTTCCCTTTGAAACTTAATAAAAACAAAGTGTTTTAATTGTGTTTCTCTTCCTTTCAATTTATGTTCACGTTTTCTTAATACAGAACATATTAATACTTAATTTAACAAAGTTTCCAAGAGCAGTGTTTGCAGAGAGGAAGGTAGTAGGGAAAGAGCAGAAAGGTTACAAGAAAGACGAAGACTCATGTGTTGGCTTGTGCCTGGAGTTGGGAGGTACTACTGGCAGCTGTGTGAAATGCTTGGTCCCATTAACTAAGACAATGCAACTTTCAAAAGTCCACTTAGGAGCTATACAGCAAACTTAAAAGAAGATTTTCCAACATAAGCCAACAGTAATTTTAAACACTTTATAATATGAATTGTCAGGTCTGGTACTTGTGACAAGAATTTGAAATATTTGGGTATGTGTTGAAAATGCTGGGAGTGATTCACCTTTTTCAACCTTTCAATCTTTCCAGGAGAAGGCACTGAGCATCAGCTTGCTCAGTTCACTTAGCAATCTGTATAATAGTTGCTAAACTCCATAACTATCTTCATCCAGAAGACACAATATGCATCTCAAAAGAAAAGAATGTAAGATGATGCTATGCGATATAAATACGTTATTAGCATGGTGTTGGGACAGGCACATTATGCAAGTCTAGTGACATCCAAATGAATCTTTCTTTTTGGTATTAAATAGATAACTCAAACCCATACATCTATGTATTCTACATTACGACCTTCTACTCTGTATTCTAGCATTCTTGTATAAGCATCAAATACAAACATCCCTGGTATATTAGTCACAGGGTTGTAATTTTTATAAGAGCATGAGATCAGAAATGTGAAAAGTGCATTCAACATACTATATGTTCAGAGATTTGTAACTAGGGGTTTCTCCTCTAATTTTCTATATCTGTGAAATCTGGAAATACTACCTGTGTGCAATTCACACCTTACATCCTTCTGTAAACTAGATCAAGATGCAGTCAACAACTGCTTACTTTAAAAAAGATAACAAAGATCAAAGCACCATAATCTGGTCTCCAAGGAGTTTAGGTTATTCATCCATGAATCAAGATCATGCAATATCATCTTTTTAAGTCTACGTAGAATAGCTGAAAAAACAATCCCCCTTTCCTAACTGGGCTATACACGTTCTCTATGTTTTCTCCGTTTGCAGGCTGCAATCTCCTCACTGAGTTCACTAACGTCGTTAAAAGCCACTTTCTCAAAAAGTGCATTTTAATTCATCTTTGAGCGGCTTCTTATACATAAGTGAGAGTCAAGGGTATCTGTAGCCTTCCTAGGAAACATGAGTTCAGCTGGAGATGGCGGAAACATGTCAGGTTATTTCTTCTAAATATCTCACGTACCTGGAAAGCAACTTCAGCAACCAGTGTAACACATATTGCTGATGAAGCTGATTTATCCAGATTATGCCGGAAGGATGTCTAATGGGATAAACCATTACAGTAAAATATCGAAGCTGCCAATTTATATCATTAAGCACAATTCAACGAGCTCTGTGAGCAGCTATCTGGGAACAGAAAATAATAAAATTATAATCCTCGCGGATTTAGTGCACGCTGTCACTGCCGCGGCACACACGGAACGGCAACATCCCCCAAGCCTGGGAGCTGGCCTCTGCTCTCCCCGTCGCGTTTGGGGAACGGCCGCTGTGCCAGGGCCGCGGCCGGCCGGGAGCCCGCCAAGGCCGGGCTGAGCCCGCTGCCCGCACGCGGGGAGACGCCACGGGCAACAGCGGCGCCTCGGGGACTACACGTTGCAAGCAAGCCTTCCACATCACCAGGTATCGTGATAGCGCTGCTCAAATGCAGTAAACCATCGTTGGTGGTTTTGTTCTTTCCTTCCCCGCCTTCCCCCTCTTTTTTACAACTGCAAAAAGACAGTCGGTAACACAGCCATCCTCTGTGGCCTTCCCCTCATTCCTTGGTTCGAGCGTCAAGGCTCTGTGTTTAAAAAACAAAAGACATTCTGATCCTAGAAACAACAGCAGCATATGGGCTGCTCTAAGACTTCAGAAACAAAGGGGGGGTGGGGAATAAAAAAAAAATTAAAAATCCTCTTAAGAGCCTGAATGTACTCACATCCTTCCCTTCCCCCTCACTGCAGAGATTCATCTGCACTCACAAATTCTCAAAACCTTAACTTTGAAACTTGTTTTCCTTAACACAAATATGGCTCCTGCAGCAATGGCTTTTACAAAAGCATTCAGCATATTGAGTCTGGAACACAAGGCAAGGGAAGGGTGCTAGAAGAAATGTCAGCAGTCATTAATCATACCTGTTGTTTGGCTGTTAATGTTTTAATCATTCTAAGATGTTTACTTCACTAGCTACAGGAAAAAAAAAAAACCAAACCAAACCAAAACAAAACAAACCAAAACAACAAAATACCACACAAAAAACACACACACAAAAAAAAAAAAACCAAACCCAAACCCCACATCTTTGCATCTGAAAAAAATCAGAAAAGGAGAGAAAACAACTGCTTCCAACCCCCAAGCCCTTACGTGGGCTGATCTGTAACACACCTTTTCAGAAGGCAGAAAGCAAATGCTGTCTCTCTTGGAGCAAAGCCCTTACAGTGCAGCTTGCCTTTTCCAGCGGAGGAGTGACCAGACTCTCTCTCATGCAGACAAAAGGGGTCAGAAACCTCCCTGCTGGATGCGCCATGGCCAGGAGAGTCCCCAGGGCTCCTGGGGCTGCTTACCCCTCTCTGCGCCCAGCGCACACTGGCAGAAGGGAAGGGAGGGATGGGGAGAAGTACATGGAACAGGTTATGGCCATCACTGGGCTGCCGCCCCTTGGTGACCAACCATCAGTCTAGCGGTCACTCTCACTTGCACTGCGCTGTGCTGAAAATAAAAGATTTTGCAAGCTCCAGTTTCAGAGATGGGATTCTTCCCTTGTAACACGGAAGAAGCTCTCCCAGGCTTGGCGCAGGGAACTGCACAGCAGGGGTGATCAGTGGGGAAAGCCAGCTGTAGTGGTGATCTAAGACTGAACCAAACACAAAAATGTAAAGTATTGATCCCTGATATGCCACAGTGTAATAAAGGACTGTTATATTGCTATACAGTTGTAATATATAAATGATAAATTGCCTGCAGAGCACTTCCTTGGACATGGCGAGTGCAATGCCAAGTAACTCACCATCAAGCCATGCAATTTCTTCAAGGACTCAGTTCAACAAAAATGTATATGAGAGCTATTAATGTGCTGAAGCATGGGCGCTGCTCCACAAGATGGGGTCATTAACCAAATAATGCGACTGTATTTTATTTTTGTTATTGTGATTTCTTCTTTCTTTCTGGTATCGTTATGTTCTTAGGAACTAATATATTACTCAGACAGGAAGATTATTCACTTTTATATTTTATGTTATGAATATTTCTTTATTTTGTTGTTGATGTGAGAAAAATACTGTGCCTTATGGTCCTTGCACTATGTGAATTTGTTTCTAGTATTAAAGCCATTTTAATTTATACCTTATGAATACATACACACCTGGGAATACTTGATAACAAGCACAAGAGAAGACAAATTCACACTCACTAATGGATTAATTTATTAGTGCTTCACAAAGAACATACAGCCTTTTGTCTGGATTGTGGTTTGCTGGGGCTTTTTTCTTAGTCATATTAACATGGAGATTTTTCCCCAGTTAAAGACAGGTTTAATTATCCCAGGTACATTTTAAGCTGTACTCTTATCAGAAATATAAACTCAACATGTAAATCTCATTGTTTTATAGAAGAAAAATCTTGGACATGAAAATACTCACTGTAGACCACCACAGACATTTTAATCTGTTCAAAGGACAGGTTGACTTTGGCATGAAGGAGACAGCTTTAGGAAATCAGTGCAACAGCAAAGTATTTTGTTCTGCAAATGAAA